TCAGTGTCTGTCTTTATAGGCCATGAATTTTTTCGACCCCAGAAAATTCACAAAATTTCAATGTTGACATGTTGTCTTGTTTTTATGCACCCCGAGTAGGTTTCTTGAGAAGTCTAGAAAAAGGAAAAGAACAGCGTCCGAAACAGATGTTTGATACAAATCAATCGCAGAACGGCGCCATGGTTTGCAGCTTTGTGCCGGTTGATTAGCCAAGCATTTATACACTAATAAAGGCCACCTCCGTGGCGATGTTGGCCCTGTCATAAAATCAATGGCTAGGATTATATCAGGGAATTCGAAAAATTTCGATGTACATTGACTATTTATCGTTGCTGCTCCGCATTTCAAGGAGTGAGCCCTGCCATTTCCCATTGGTTCTTTTTTATTTGCAATCCAACTCACCCAAGGGTTTTCCATCCTTGGCCCATTTGATGCCTGGTGTTGGATAGCCGAACACGGGACAGGTGATATTCACATCGTCTCCACGCTGAAAAATCAACAAACTTGTCCGGGACATAGACTGAGACAGGGTAGGTTCGTTATGCTCGCCCACTGCAAGCACTTCAGAAACCAGGCCACAACTGATAGAGGAAATAGTGGAGGAGCGTATATCGAATAGATGAATTTGGTTTATTGTAAAAATGTTGTTCAATTATTATCACCCAGCCGATGAACAATCGCATTCCTACTTCGCAGGATACAATGGTGTCACATTTGTTTGATGCTCTGCGGACTCACCGCTTACCGGGCCCCATTAACTGTTCCAAATGGCTTGCAGTCGTCACAGCTACCCGGTATAGCTTCAACCAAACCCCTAAGCTAATGACTTATTTTTCTCTTTTCTCATCGAAACATCATCGGTATACCGTCCCGCGTTGTGTTGCGAGATCGCTCAGAACCATTCATTCTAAAAATGGCACTTTTGGACTTTCTCCTCTCCCAGCGGTGCTTTTTTAAGCCACCAGAGGTTAGTAAGAAAGCCTGTCTACTTACTAGCTATAAGAAGGGATGTCAGAAGCACTGAAACGTCAAACATTCTATGTGACATGGAAACAATTACATGCAGAAGCGATTAAAAAGGTTCCAAGCAAAAGTATACGTGCCTACCCGGACATATCGCCTTTCTCCTTCTAGATGGAACTCATTGTTGTCTTTCACAGTAAAGTGCTCATGATCCGCGACAGCTACTGGCCTGGCTGAAATAACTAGTTCTGAAGGAGAGTGATAATCAATTTGAGCTGAGTAACTTGTGATGTGAACTTGAAAAACAAATGTACAGTTTATATTTTTCAGACAGTGTATCCAGAAGTTTATAGTTCTGGTGACGAAAGGTAGCGGTATTTTGGCTAGTGCTCCTTTTTTTTGAGTCTAACCACGATCCATTGAACTAAACCCAACCAACGTAATTCATATCAACTGTGCTGCGTGCATAAGCTAATAGAGTCTATCTAATATTAAAAAAACTAAATCTTATCTGGCACTGCTGCCAATATTGGCCAGGCGATGAGAAGAGGTCATCAGCCCCAGGGCTAAAGCTCATGGGCGAGTGACCACAATTCCGGGCGGACACTGCCCTTTCAGGAGAAAAAGGCAACGGCAGAGCGGGAGAAATCGAGAATCTTTGTGGAATGCGGTTGCATCCCACAAACAGATTGATCAACATCGAGTGATATCTGGCACTGCTGCCAATATTGGCCAGGCGATGAGAAGAGGTCATCAGCCCCAGGGCTAAAGCTCATGGGCGAGTGACCACAATTCCGGGCGGACACTGCCCTTTCAGGAGAAAAAGGCAACGGCAGAGCGGGAGAAATCGAGAATCTTTGTGGAATGCGGTTGCATCCCAAAAACAGATTGATCAACATCGAGTGACAAAATTTATTTGGCATTCGTACTGCCACGGTTTCCCTGAAGCCCTTCGAATGGTGGGTGGTGAGGCTACGTGAAGTAATTCAAGCTGACAGATATATTAGGTTGTCGCAAAATAAACGTGTATTTCATACTGCAACTATCCCCGCCAAAATTCCTACAAGTGCACGAGCGATCATACAGCCGTTGCCATATTGTTTTGAACACCTGTCTCCGGCTTCAGGATTTACGCTTCTCGAGATGCTTCACTGAATATTTACGTATTTACGTGGTCTTGAATCCCTCATGAACGAGCGTCATGAACATTCAAGACCACGATTTTCGCGTCGTCATGCTTCACAAGTTCAAATTGAGCCGGTCAGTAGTCGAAGCTACCCGCAAAACCGTGCTTAGGTAGAGGATTCCCCTCCAGGAGGACCTGTACAATCGGGTTTTTCGAAATTTGCTTCTAGAGGTGGAAGCCCTCAAGACCAACCTGGTCTTGGTGGCAAACCGTCGCTGGGCAACGAACATACGAAAGCTGCTGTGGAAGGAAATCCGAAAAGCAACACGCAACGCTAAAACGATGGGAGAAGAACCAGGCATGCATCATGCAACAGTAGCGAGGCATTAGTAGCAAATTGGGAAGGTGCGAAACTATCAAAATCCGCGATTAATGTTGCGATAACCTAATAACATTCGGAAAATCGCTATTCGTAAGTCATAATATGTATGAGTGATTTGGATTCCGAAATGGGGAACGCGTTTTTGCTACATCGGGTCGATTCACACTTCCAGTACCTATCGCCGACGTACCCATAAGTTGAGTGACTGCAAATATGAGGAAAGGAAATTTCCCTTGAGACATGAAGGACTTGCGCAATTGCGAAACGGAACACTGCTGAAGATCGTAAAGATAAACCATCTTCATACGACAGTACACAAAATCAGGCAGAAGTTGGCACTTTAGTAACCAGGAAGTACACAGAGACCAAATGATAATCAAACATCACCGTCCAGTTTGGACTATCAGATTAATCACGAAGAAAAACTTTCCACATTGAGGCTATCTCTATTTCAAAACTCACAAACTTATGAAACAGACAAGGAATATCACATCGAAAGAATGGGGAATGTTCTATACTGTCTGTCGACTTAAATTACCCGCTGTAAATCTTAGTTTGAGTCGTAATCTACAGTGGTTTTGGAGTCACTCATCGAAAAGCTGCATAGCATAGACAGATCACAATATACATTCAGTCGGAGGGTTCGCATGACTGATGCTTCTATTGTTCATCGCCCTATACAAGATCGAGTGGACATGACTACGATGCCTTGCTCTCAAATACATGGAGAGAGAATTGTTAAGTGAAATAAAAGAGACTCCAAAGCCACTCCAACTTGACCAGCTCCCCTCAAGCTTATAAAAACTCAATAATCGATATCATCGTCGAAAACAACCGTCTCTTACCAAACATTTTCCCAAAAGGAGAAGATCAGAGATCACAAGGAAAAGTAATCGCATCTAAGTAAATGCCACCCTTCATCTACAGCGGGGCCACCCACTCTGCAACTCTGTCTCAGCCACTATGAATGAAGCCATTTACTTATCGTTCTTCGATGACTTGAAAGGCGTATGGCTTGTTCTATATGGTCATTCTCCTTATTACCCAAAGCTTACTGATACCATCTAACACATTGTTATTAAGTTCAAACCCTAACTATGGGGGTTCCCCGGAATCGTGGAAGATCCAGGACATCGCCCCATGGAGAAGTTTTTTAATGTCTAATAAAATTCTACATGATCAAATTTCTGACCAAGCCAAGCTCTCATTTATTCTTCGTCTTACCCCCTGCTGATGAGCGAATCCAGTAGTCAAACGCTTGGCAGCGTAGAATTGATGCGTGGTTTCCATGGAAATGGTCTACGGGACATTCTCTGACAAATGGCGGAAATGATCTCACATAAAGGCCTCGTCAAAACAATTACGATTCCATGATGGAAAAACAGGGCGAGCGGATTTGAAGCAATTCGACAATACATATGTCTTGCAGTACTCACTTCAAGTTCAGCTTCTTGCGTCGGTTCCATTTCCGGGTTCCATTAATATATGGTGCCACTTTTAATTAGATGTAAAGGAACACTTAGTAGCGTTAATTACATTTCAAGAAGCACCACGCCTACTAGTTCCATCCAAAGTTATCGAAGTTATCGTTTGAACGCATATTTCGTCTAGACCACGGTTGAGGGGGACCGACACCGCTGAGAAGTTGATTCGGAAGATGCCTCCAAAATAACCCGCGTGGTACTAGCCCCGCGGGAGACGGATAGTAGGATCGGTTTTGTGTAATCGATTCGCCGCACGCTGCTGTCGCGGACCATTCGCTTCACTGTTATTACAACTCTGGCGTTCCTCATACAGCTCAATCGCTATGCGATTATTACCTTTGGCATAAACTTGCTGCTGCATTCTGCTAAATTTCTTCGCGTGCTGCGTCCCCCTCGCCGCGACAATTTCGGTGCTACTGCACCACACCCGTGCGCGAGCGATCCCACTACTTAACAGGATGAGGCACAGGATGAGTGGGCGATCGGTCGACTAGCGGGATCGTTCGCGCACTATCACATACACATGGTCAATGGTTCCAATTCTGGAAATCCGCTCGGGCCAAGCGTGCCATCGCTCCGAGGTAGGGTAATCGGTACCAGACTCGTCTAGGCAGGCAAAAGCACTGACTTGTACATCGGCTGGCCACCGTAAGTCATTGCATAGGTCACTCATGCAGCACCACTACGCTGCTGGATGGAAGTCGAATGCGTGGGCCCGCCCCGACTTTTACCCCTCCTCTATAGGACAATATTCGACCAACCTTTCACTTCACATGATTTAATATTCTTGATATTAGTTTTCAGGCTTCATTCATTGCTCCATTATTTCGCTATGAAGCATGCTATGTGAAGCAAATCTTATTATTATGCTGGTCACAATAAAAACACCTACAGAGCGTGAGATGTAATCGCAGATTTTGAACACAACATGTTGTTGTACTATAACGAAATGCGAGCGGGTGATGGGGAGATGACAAGTTGCAAAACAAGAACATGCTGAAGTATGCAAGTAATGGTCATTTGAGTGTTACTCAGTTACTCCATACGTTCAGTATCAGTTTATCGGAGCCACTTACTGTTTTTGCGAATTTTGATCCAGATGGGGACACGGAACACCCCAGAATTTGTACTGAAATCGTTCTCATACTCCTTAATTCTTTCTCACTTTTTTTACCCGCAAAACATCAGAGGAGTCTGCAAGGGTAATATTCGATTGTCTAATGGATTCTCTGGAAGTCCTAACCCATGACGACCTTCCTCATAAACGAAAAGACGCTCGCCGTTAATCATCCCTCTCAAAGATTTCTCATATGACTTGCCCTCAGTTTCCAATGTAAGTACGGATGCAATTGGGACTCAGATATTGCTATAGAAGGACAACGACAAAGATATACGCTAAAATTTTCGCTCGAGATTGCCCTGAAGAATGCCATACCATTGAACAGACTTTGGAGTAATAAGGAAACTCTCAAATACCTCCGAATACTTATAACTTTCTATATACGTTTGTTTCTTCAGGTAAATGACGATCTCCCATACACCTGCTTATCAAGAAAGAGCCAAGTCAAGCAATCACCAATCACTGAACGGATTAGCTGTGTTGCAGACAAACAACGCTTTCACAATGAGGGGAAATCACCAGGAAATGTGAGCGGAAAATGAAGCAGAGAGGCTCTTTCAGGTTCCCTGAGCCAATAGGATTGTTAAGATTTCTTATAGTATATGAATTGCCCTTTAGAAAAAGGAAGAGCGCCAAAATGGCGCTGGAAAAGATGAACATTTTTTTGCCATTGCTGTACTAGGAGTATCGAAAATAAATGAGTTGAGCAATTTAAACTTGTTCATAAAGTTAGCGGATAAGAAATCGTGAGGAAAAGTAATATTTTGATCTCCAGCTTTCCAAAAATCCAACTCTCAAGTGGAGCCGACCAAAAGCAAGCAACGTGTAAGCAAAATGAGCGTTATGTATGGGCGATCTCATAGTCTGTTCAGAGAGCACTACGATACCAGCTATGTACTGAAAACGGACAAAGAGGGAACCATGCGAAGGAGAAGAAGAAGTAGAGGAACTCAACAGTTCCGACCCCACGTAGGAATCAATTTGTGAAAAGACAGACACTGTAGGAAGGCGCCACCGAACCCCATTGGTGTTTCCTGTCTGTCATATGAAAAGGGTGCGAAAGCTGTTCCAAAAACCACTCAGGTTTGCCTCCGGTGTCACTTTTTCTACCATCCTCTTATTATTACATGATTAGTGACATGGAAAGGATGCAGCAGTACAACTTTTTGACAGTTTTGAAGAGCGTTCTCGACAGAGTCGCTCTGTGGTCACTGACAAAAAATCGGCAGAAACGGGAACAAACGTCAAACATGCCACAGGGTTGCAGGAATGACACCTCCAGTAGGCCAATATAAAATCTATGAAGAAGTAAACAAGGAAAACGAGCAGGAAATTAAAAGCACTAGCCCGACCCCTGAACAAAATCTGAACGGAACAAGCCTTCCCTCATTCCAGGACCGCTAAAAAGTAGCAGCTGATTAAACAAATTAATTATAACTACAACATCGCCTGTTACCTGCATGTTGGAGTTTTTTTTACCAAAAACCCCAAGAAGTTCGAAATGAAAGCCCCCAGCACGACGTGCTCAAGGGGTTGTCCAGGGGAAGTCGTTCAACTGGGTCCCCTCCCTTTTTTTCGAATGCGTAGAAGTGAGAAGACGTTCTTTGCTTGAAACGACGCTTTCTCCGCTTCCTCCGAGGGAGCCGTTGTTCTCACGTGGTGGATTGAGATTTGCTATTCAGATAAGCATAGAAGGATATGTAATTAGGAAGCCGAGCAAGGTTGAAGACGCACAGAGCAAAGGAGAAATCAGCACGAACGAGAACTAAAGGGAAAAAAGGAGCAGCTAGGAACCACGGAATTAAATTCCAATGTTGGCTGGTTACAAAGAGATCACGTGGGAGCGGGAGGGTGGAGAGCAAGAGAAAGGGAGGACAGCCAAATAGCGGCTATTCACACAGTGCTTCCTTAATTACCATGATTTTCTATGTCATCGACTTACTCGTTAGAGGAAGTCCCTCCAGCGATTGAAAGCTAGTGCTTTCGGAAGGCGGAAGTAGGCATAGGGCTAGGTGGCACCTAAGGCATGGGTAACTTCTCTATCGTAGATGTCAAGAGATTTCCCTATTGATTGAAACTGACGAAGGATCTACAAAACGAAAAAATTGAATGAAAAACGGCTTTTAGTAACATACAACGTCCAGTGATGTTTATGGCGGTCGATATGATCCATGGCCAAGCCCTCATTAACCACTACTGCAGGCCGAAGTGAATGAAGGCTCGCACAGCCCAGCATGGAGGGATCCCACGGAAAATGCAAAATAGTCAACAACCCGTCGTGCCGCTTGTGTGTACCTCCAGTATAGCCATTACTATACTTATTGGGAATCCCACTATGGACCTCTGCGTGCATAAAGATCTTTCGCCATTCATAACGAAAGGGGAATATATGGGCTCGGTTGTGTAGCACCGATTTCCAGCCCACCATCTGTTCGCTTGTTAGATTGAAATGTTTTGTATTTATTTTGATAGTTCTGAACTAATTTTCAATTCTTATGGCTCTGAAGGATTTCTGTTTTCAATGAGGATAAGGCATCAACGATTAGTCGTAAAGAGGAATAAAGAGGAATAAACTGCAAATATTGTCGTTGTAGCGGAACAGACCATCAACCAATGTGTGGGCGCTGAGGAAAAGATCGAAATCGAATGGAGTAATAAAAATACTGAGCTTCAAAGAGGATCATAGGAATTAGGTGACAGAAGAAACGTTTTACTGTGAAAGACAACTAGTAAATCTGAGAACATACCGTAAAGATGGATTTGAGTGGTGAGCCGTCCATGCTGCGTGTCCAGTTCACAAGTATACTCGCCAGCATCACCAACTGTGGCCGATGGGAACGTGAGCGTGGCATTTTTTTTGTTCTCCGATAACTGTGCCTCAAAACGCTTCTTGTCACGCTTGCGCAGGAACGATGCTCGCCGGATTGTGATCTGCAACCGAATAAGGACTGTCATTAGGTCCGGTTTTATTGTCAGAAATAGCACTGTCATCAAGATCGATTGACTGATGTTTTTTCTAAATGAATTACCGCCCTCATCGCAGAGCGCTTTACACGTGATGGTTGTTTGGTCCATTGGCAGCTGGTGCAGGGCCAGCCATTCTATTGAAGGCCGAACATCATCGGTCGACAGCTGCCGCTCTTTAGCCTGATTGGAGCTGTTTTCAAATGTCAGAGACCTCTCTAAGAAGCTGTGGTCAGTGCTTCCACTCAGATATAATGCTTAGCAATTCTGGGCTTTTTTGGTTTGGCGTCCCAGAATGGGCTGTTTTCAATAGACGAATAGTTTATCGTAAACTATGTAGAAAAATGTTCCCCGGGAAGGAGGGCGTCTAATTTGCAGACATGTACCCGTGAATTTGGCATACAGTTCCACCTAACGGTGCTAGGCTGCCTATGCCAGGTGCTAAGCCATACGGCACTTGGAGGGGAGTAGGTGGGGATTTGAACCGATTGCAAACCTTCCGGAGATCTTCCCTACTTTTTACCCTTTTTGATTTGGAGTGAGGGATAAGAGTGGTTGTTACTCGCGACTAGGAGGGAGGCTAAAGGCAATTAGCAGCGACAGAATAGCCGTCTTCCTCTTGTTTACAAATCTTCGCGTGAGGTCTACGAATCCTCTAATTGCGTTTCTCGCCCAGCGGCGTATTGGATTACGAGGAGTGGCCACTGGGCGGCTATCGTCGCCACCCCAATTCAAGTTGGAATAGGCGAGCAAGTAGCAGTTGCTCTACAGCCGGATATCATTGGAAACAGAAAAACAGCCAGTTGATACTCACGTACCTGCAAATTGTCAGGAGCACACCAAAGCGTTACTTCACCGGAAGCATGAAGGGGATGTGCGGCTGACGTCTTGGCTGTTTGCAAGTGCAACACAGCCGTTGGACCTCGAGCTGTCAGGGAAGCGACGAGCGGTAGTACCAGTACGACCGCGAGCAGCCACATTAGACGTGAGATACGACGTGGGCGTGGCGGAGGGTAGAGACTCAGCAGCGGACGCCTTGCACAGAGTCACAGACGGCCGAGCAGACGACGGCCGGATGGCTAACTAGTCAACCCCCGCTATATAGCTATTCAAGAGCTGTCATCATTGCTATGTGGGAAATGTTACTACGTGTATGAGCGCTAGCGCTCATAGACAGGTACGCATTTGCATAAGCAATTCGAATGCTTCTCGCTCCAGGAATACCTACGCCACATGACAAACGTGCCAGCTCTGCCACTTAAGACTTCACCTCCTACCATAATAGGGTACTGGAAGAATCATAGCTGAAGGATATCAACCAGGAATTTTGTTATGGAAGAGTGAATTGAGAAAGGATAAACCTACCTATGCCATGAGGTTGTTCTGATCACTTTATTCGAGGTATATAAGGCATCAGATACGACAAACTTCTGCCAACGTTCCACAAGGGAGAAAATTCTCTACTAGTAAAAAAAAGCATGCATCTTAAGAGAATAGAAGAGCCCAAGCCCAAAAAGGGTCAGGAGACCATTTCGACATCCTCCTCTTATCGGAACGATTTCTCTTAACCTCTTAAAAAAAACTGTTCAACTGATGAAAGAATTGTAGTCCGTAGAGTATATATCGGGAAAATGGGAAAGGTGTGAGAGCATTTCACGACCAGTTCCAAACGATTTCCCGTACATGTTGCAGTGCGGTCTAGCGTTGTCGTGAAAGGGGATCGGGCCGTTTTGATTCACTGAAGCAGGACACTTTTCTTGCAGCTTGCCATGACTTACATATATCGAGTTCTTGGCAGTAGGAGTTTGCCGTTATCGCCTTACCCTACTCATGGGCTCTAAGACACGTTACACCGACAGACCATATAAGTGGGCTTTTAAACTCAACGACGTGCATTGTTTTCACCGAGCGACCGAGCGACCGACCGACGGCGTTGCTGTCCACGTGTTGACGCGGACCGATGGCGTTCAGGGCCGAGTGAGTCGTCAGGGCGGGTGATCCATCGGTGTTCAGTGTTGTCGACACGTAGCCAGCGACGCCGTCGGTCGGTCGGTCGGTTTGGAAACAATACACGCCGTTGGAGTTTGAAAGCAATCAGACAGGGAACAAGATCGTCGTGAGATAAAGTCCAAGTTTTGCTCTCCTTTGAGGTGGTCCTATTCGTCTGGCCACTCGGAAAACATTTTGAGATTGTTATACAGCATAATCGAAAATCACTATGCGGCTCAGAAAAGACTCGTTCTCATTGCGACCTGGAGGCATATGCACACCTCCATGCGCACTGTCTTGTGTCTTGCTGTCACTTCTTAACGTACCCATGACAGAGCTTTTCATCTCTCTCGCTGCTCTGAAAGGAAGAGTACCGTATCTTTAGAAATTCCCGGCCTCCATGTCAAATCTGTTTAGGATCAGCCGAAACTCACAGTTTTCCATGTTTCGAGGAAAATCTGAGACAAGAAGATCTCCTCCAAATTCTTCTTCGAAGAATAGCTTCCCTAAACATTTGAATTGGAATAAAGAGCAGAATCTACAAACTAGCTACTGACGTATCGCAGTGGTCGAAGAAGAGAGTTCAAAAAACGCTCTCAAAAGGCAAAGCAGTCAGTGAATAAAGGCAAGAACTTTCAATACAGCAGATGAACTACTGCAGCTGACTCGGATGGTGCTGGTTTCTATTGTAAAAATGACGATAGCTGACTCGAATAACAATAAAAAAATAGTTTTCGCAGCATTGGTTGCTGAAGGTCTCGATTGTCTGACTGAGTTCAAACGAGTGACCTATTTGACGTTTCTACCTGAATTCCCTACAATTGTGAAGATGCTTGTTCGAATTACCAAATTCTGTTTAACTCCTTCTAGGCTCTGAGAAGGGGGGGGGGGGGGGGTGGGGGAATACGAAAAAACAACTGGGAATATTACAGAAAGAAGATATCGATCAGAAAAGTCTACGTATTGTGCATACTAGTCATGGGCTGCACGGAAATATTCAGCGTTGGCGGTGAGGCATCGTCATGAATTCCTATATGTAAACTACAAACTCTGCTACGCCGATCGGTATCGCCTGTTGCGCGATGGCGCTTTGATTATAGTTCTAGGGGCACTTCATCTCAGTTATTCGACCTCCCCTCTCACTAATATGGCTTGTTTGCAGTACATACAGTATTGGTCCAGAGAAATCCAGAGGACTAAGAAGCTGTGTAATATTACGGAAAAGGCGGTAGTATCTGTTCATTTCTGCGCAATTTCAATGAAAGAGAGCAAACGTTAGGGGTGAGTTGTGTCGTGCCAAAACGGCATGTCGTGCACGGGACTAATACCTTATGCAACCAACTAACAATAAGTCAAGACGGTCCGCGAGGTATCTATGTAGCGCCGAGCTCAGCTAGGGTACTGGGCTCGCAATAGCTTTCTGTAATCCGAGGTATTTTTGGTTCCTTCCATTATTCACTAGTTTATGCGAGCTCAGCGCCGATTCTGTTTTTTGCAAAAAAAGCCTATTCGGAAGCAGCTCCTTTTTTTACCCTCACATGAACCTACCAAAAGTGTTTGAAAGATACTTTTGGCTTTTGCGAAATGTTGCGTCATCGAATTCTCACTGTCGGAGCACATCACAAGTAACAGGGAATCTCTCCTGAACAGCAATTTGCCTTTTAAGTTGTTTGACGAAACACAGCAGAAAAATAGAGCTCGCCTTGAGTTTTTACAAAGCTTTGTAAAAAGTGGAAGCGCAACTGTTTCGATTTCAGCGGTGAAAAGGCTCTAACACTCACACCGTTAAAATTGAGATCCCGCCGAACGCGAGATCCTTTGGTCCAGCTTTGTTTCAAACTTCATGTTTCACCTTTGCGTACTGATGGAACTTTCGAGTAACTTCACATCAATTGGTTCGTCTAGAGGAATCATTTCTTCCTGAAAGCACTATCTTCACTCATTTACTTTTCATTTTACTCACTTGCTTTCAAATACATCTATTGAAATGTACCGATGTTATTCGAAATGAACCCAGTGAGATTCATTCTGCGTATGCGTCTTATTCCAACCCCTGAAGGCTCAAAGTACTCAACGAAATGATAGTCTCCCTTGTTGTGCACCGGTCTTGCGACTGCAGATGCACGATGCTTTATGTACGTGCAACCATAAGTAACCCAGCAGTTCCAATAATTATATATGGTCAAAAAAGTCATAGATTATGGAAAAGCACTCATTTCTCTCATTCATGCTTGAATTGCGATGCCCTTATCGGTGTGTCTTGAGTGCTCTACGGTATCAGTGAAAAAAGAGAATCCAAGATAGTTAGCAATAAGTGTGATAAATTGTTTTTATACAAGTTGCTGGCAATGTTTGCGATAAAAACATAAGGCAGCGAGAGAAAAAACTCGGCTCACATGGCAATTCCCTGTTTCGGAGCAATTTTCTGATTCTGAAGATGTGCTTCGACAGTGAAAATTTCACGGTGCAACTCTTCGCGAAAGTCAAAAGCGTCTTTAAAACATACTGTTTATTTAGTCATTTATAACATGCCCGTAAGGAACATGCGAAAGAAACATCAAAACAAACAAACGCATCCAAATGTTAGTAGCTGACACACGACTAATGTACATCTTAAGGAACATAAAACAATAGAAAAGATAATGTTAGCACAGATTTTAGTGGCAATACCACCAGTGGAGACTGAGGTTACAAATAGCTACTTTCTGAGGAAATGGAGTATTTCCTGTCTAACCTTGGAGAGGTTGGCTGAGTAGTTGGCGTTTCTGCTAAACTTAACATACGCTGAGCCAGCTCTTTGCCTATAGAAGTGCCTGCCTCGTGAAGTTCCGAGTAAAGCATGATTCCTTTGAGTTGCCTTTAGTTTTGGAGGGGTTGGAGGTAATGAACTTGTCAGCATCGGATGAAATTGTGCAAAGTATTCAATGCACCGCTCGTAAATCATCTATCACTCTTTTTGCTAAGTGGGTCTATAATCAAAATTTCATTTCCTACAACAGCATGAGGGATGCTATTGTAAGAGTACCCACATGCTCTTCTAGAAAAACTCCTAGTGAAATTGTTTGAGCCCGCTCGACGGCCTGAATAATTTCTTCTTGTACAAAGTATTCAATGCACCGCTCGTAAATCATCTATCACTCTTTTTGCTAAGTGGGTCTATGTTCAAAATTTCATTTCCTACAACAGCATGAGGGATGCTATTGTAAGAGTACCCACATGCTCTTCTAGAAAAACTCCTAGTGAAATTGTTTGAGCCCGCTCGACGGCCTGAATAATTTCTTCTTGTATGAGGAAACAGTTTCATAGTCAAGGATAGTTCGAACGAACATTTCAAGCCCAAGAGCCTTAAGAAAAACAGTTGGATCCTTACTATTGAGTAAACGGAGCAGAGAAAAAGCCTAGATTTCAACATTGGAACAGTGCTAAGGCAGTGAGTATCGAAACATAGCTCTCTGGTGACTGTAAAACCAAGACCTTCAGCTCCGGCGCGCTCAAAATGTAGTATTTGTTTTGGGCATTATTTTTACCCAAGTATAGTATTAGGTGTGTGCATTAATTTCCGCCGCCGAATTCCAAGGGCTGTTGCGCGAACCATGTTAGAGGT